AGCTTAGCTTTAGCTTAGCTTTAGCTTAGCTTTAGTTTAGCTTTATATTAGCTCAGCTTTAGCTTAGCTTTAGCTGTAACTTAGCGTTAGTTTACCTTTAGCTCAGCTTTAGCTTAGCTTTAGCTTAGCTTTAGTTTAGCTTTAGCTTAACTTTACTGTTACTACTAATGCTGCTTTCATAGGGGCACCAACTCCTAGGTAGGGTCGCACTGGGATAAGTATTATTCTCCTTATTCGTAGTATGTTTCTTCTTACTCATTGAGCCTTACGATCGGGAGCTGTCGGATAGCGTGTCGCTCCGCCGGTTCCGGCCCACCACGCTTCGGCGCGGCACGCTATCCACTTCCCGCCCTCCAGGCCCCAACGCCACCGGCTCAACCGAGCCTCCCGCCCCGCGGAGCGGGGCGGCGCGCCCTCTCACCGAGGCACGGCGCGGCGTGCCGCTGGGGCCGCCTCGGCGGCACGCGATCCGAGAGCTCCCGACCGTGTGCCGACCGATCTGCCGCTCTGCGGCCATCGCCGCCGCCACCGCCGCCCCACCGCCGCCGCATGCCGATCCGCCGCCCCTCCTCCCGGAGGAGAAGGTCGGAGGCAAGAGGGGGAGGTATAGAAGGGTAGGTGAGGGTTTTGAAACAAAAAGCAGAAAGAAGCAATACCCTTTTCCAGATTCTTCCAGAGGCACGGCCACGGCCAAGATGGCGGGTCGTCCCTCTCCTCCGGAAGCACGCCGCGCACTGCCGTCCTACAGGACGGCGCACCGGCCGCGGGCGCACCCCCGCCGTCCGGCGGCTCGCCGTGGCCCCCTGGGCCGGAGGGGTGCGCGCCGGGGGCCGGCGCCGCGGGCGCACCGCGGGGCGCCCTATTTGCATTCGGGCCGCGCGCGCTCCGCCGGGGGGGCAGCGCTGCCGCCCGCGCGCGCCTCGCGGGGCGCAGCGCCGCGCGCAGCTGCCGAGGGCCCCGGGGCCGGGGCCTTGCCGTGCGCCCGCGGCTGCGCGTCGCGCCCGTGGTCCGCTGGTCAAGAAGCGGCTGGGCCGCCTCTCTCTCTCTCTCTCCCTCTCCCTCTCCCTCTCTCTCTCTCTTTTTCTCTCTCTCCCTCCCTCTCTCTCTCTCTCCCTCTCTCCCTCTCTCCCTCTCCCTCTCTCTCTCTCTCTGCGCCCCTTCCCCCCCGCCCGCCTCCGATCGGCGATCGATCTGGCGCTCCCCTTCTCGCAGGTCAAGGTGCAGTGCAGGCCGTGTCGAGGAATCGGCTCCGTCGGGCCTGTGCCGCTGGTGCCCTACCGCCTCCGTGGTCGGAGGTGCCCGGCCGCGAGCAGCGCGTGAACGCGCCGAGGGAGCGCAGCAAGGCTAAGGGCGACCGGCGGGGGCGAGACCCCTGCGCCTTCGCCCTGAGTAGAGCATGCCTCCCTCTCTCCGTTCCCCCTTCGCCTCCCCATTGAGGGGCGCCCTGCGAGGCAGCCCAGCATCTGCTACCCTTTGGGGTAGAGCAGAAGAGGGCACAGCTAATCAGGTGGCACACTTTGGGTCGCGGCCGAGACGTTTCTCAAGAGGGAAAGAAACACACAGACACAATGAATCGTCGATTCCCAGGACAATATGCGAAAATATGGGAATTGGGGGGGAAGACAGAAACCCAGACAACATGGGAAAATATAGGGAATATTTCACTCGTGTGTCTTGATTTATGTGTCCTTGGGCCCCTTCAGTTTCAGCTACGGTACGCAACTCGAGGGTGGTTGTGCAATGGGGTCCGTGGGCCCAGGCTCGGGCGATTCGTGCTCGGGCTTGGGGTCTCGGGCGCTGCACCAGGGCTCGGTGCATCCTTGGGGCTAGCGGCCCAGGTGTTCTGGACCCTCACGCCGAGGCTCGCCACTGGGCGTTGGAATGTCTGGCTGGTGGACAAACTTCAGGAGGGAAAAAAAACACAGACACAATTAATCGCCGATCCCGCAGAAAATATGGGAATATATGGGAAGCGGGGGGAAGACAAAAACCCAGAAAATATATAAAAATTTGGGACATCCTTTTATTATGGTGCGTGTGTGTGTGTGCGTGTGTGCGTGTGTGTGTGTGTGTATGTGTATGTGTGTGTGTGTGTGTGTGTGTGTGTGTGTGTGTGTGTGTGTGTGTGTGTGTGTCTGTGTCTGTGTCTGTGTCTGTGTCTGTGTCTGTGTCTGTGTCTGTGTCTGTGTCTGTGTCTGTGTCTGTGTCTGTGTCTGTGTCTGTGTCTGTGTCTGTGTCTGTGTCTGTGTCTGTGTCTGTGTCTGTGTCTGTGTCTGTGTCTGTGTCTGTGTCTGTGTCTGTGTCTGTGTCTGTGTCTGTGTCTGTGTGTGTTGTGTCCCAGGGCCCCTTCAAAACTGGGCCTCCCACGAGGTGTGTTTTTCCGTGTCCTTTCGCCTCCCCCCCCCCCAACTCCCGTCCCCCCTCTTTTCCTTGGCCCGGCCCCTCCCTCCCTGCCGGTCGCGGGGGGGGGCGCACCAGCTCTCAGAAGGCCGCCCGGGGCGGAGGTCACCAGAGATGGCGCACCTACTGCGGCCTTCCAGCCCAGCTTGAGGACGCGCTCACCCCCTCCCTCCCGTCAGCGCCACCCCAACATACCAATACTATGTGTGCGTCGTCCCCAAAGGGGGCGACGCGCCCGCCGCGAAATCTTGCAATTCAGCTCCGTGGCGGATCCTTCATGGCCATGCCGCTCGGGAAACGGTACATGCGCTATTAGATGGTTGTGCTGTATGCTCGATCCGGACGCACGCCCCCAAGTAAGAGACCTAGTGCTCGTGTATCCTTCTGCGTCCCCAGACATGCGACGTCCTGATTTTTTCAGGACGGCGTCCCCGGAAGTCCAGACCCTTTCCCTGGGGCCGGTTTGTCATCCTGAGTCGTTTTTTGACGGTCCCGAGGCCCGGCGAGGGCCTCTAGAGGCCGAAACTCATGAAAAACCTCCGTCCTGAATTTTTTACGACGCGATCATGTCTGCGTCCCGCCCCGCTCCCGCTCCCGCGCTGCCCGATGAGCAGGGGTGGCCGGGGGGCGCGATCACCCGCGACGAGGGGGGGCCGCGGTCGCCCGGCGGGTGCCGAGGCCGCCGCGCAGAGCGAGGTCGCCCAGGCCTTCTGCAAGACCCTGCTGCCGAGGAGGAGGAGGAGGAGGAGGAGGAGGAGGAGGAGGAGGAGGAGGAGGAGGAGAGAGGAGGGAGGAGGGGGAGGAGGAGAGGAGGAGGAGGAGGAGGAGGAGGAGGGAGGAGGAGGAGGAGGAGGAGGAGAGAGTAGAGGGGGATGAGGTGGAGGGGGGGAAGGAGCAAGAGGAGGAGGAGGAGCAGGGAGAGGAGGCACCAGGAGGGAGAGGACGGGCCAGGGAAGGAGCAGGAGCAGGAGGAAGACGAGGAGGAGCGGCAGGAAGGGGCGAGCCCTCGCAGGCCCTGTCCAAGATCCAGCTCATGAGGTGGAGCTCGCTTGTCCGCGCGGCCCTGCGGCGGCCCAGCCTCCGCCTGGGCGGCGGCCGCGCGAGGCCGCCGCCGCACAAGGGGCGCCGACCGACCGCGCCGGCGCCTGGGCCTGCTGGGAGCCAGCCTGCGCCGCGGCGGCAGGGCGCGCCAGCCCACGCGGCGCGCAGGGGCTGCGCGGGGCCGGCGTCGTCGGGTGCGCGGCGCGGGCTGAGGGGTCATGGGGCCGGCGTGGGGGCCTGCTCCACGGGGGCCTCAGGCCCTGAAGTCCGGGCGGCGCAGGCTCTCTTCTCACACCGGGCGTCGTCGCGGTTCCGCGGGCTCCGGGGCCCTCCCATGGGTCGACTGTGCGGCTCGAGACATGCCGCAGGAGGATGGGGTCTGGAGCTCTGGTCGTGGTTTTTGCTGGCGAGGTCACGAGTTTTCGCGCAGCGTCGGACCTCAGGGCTCGGAGGCGAGGGCCTCATGGGGTGTGTGGTGGGGCGGTGGTGGCCCGGGGGAGTCTTCGGGGGGGCTCGGGGGACCACACGGGGCCTCATCAGGGCGCTCGGGACGACACTGGCCCCATGACCCCTTGCAGGTGCGGGGGCCCGGGTGCAGAAGGACCATCGACCATCCGCGCATCCTGCGGCGCCCAAGAGCCGCGCGAAGCCGGCGGCGTCGAGTGCGGGGTCCCCAGCTTGGAACACTCCGTTGCCAACAGGCCTCGTGACCAGAATTTGAGCGAATGTCAGGCTCGTGGCCGCGGTGGACGGTAATTTTCTGCCAGGGCACGGATTCTGCGCTGAATGGGCAGAGCGCGGCTATTGTCGCGTGGTACAGCGTGCCCTCTGGCATTGCCACTGATTTCTCTCGCTTCGCGGGGTGCACGTCCAGAGCACGTTAAGACTGGGCGTGGGTGGTTTGCCCTGCTCGTCTGCTGCGGTGCTCTGCCATGTCGCTCTGCCCGCCCCACTGCGTTGCCAGCGCCACGGGTGCGGATGCGCCCCCCGTTGCGCTGCAGCGCCAGAACTAGCGTGCAAATGTCCACGAGGGCAATGAGCATCCACCGCGTGTCAGCAGCACAAGTCACGCCACGGTCGAACTCCGATGAGCATAGAAACAACGCGCCATTCGTATAACATTCCGCGGGAATCTTGGTTTCTTGTACCCCTTTGGGGGCTTTGGTGGGGCCTCTTGGAGGCTTCTTGGGGGACTCTGCGGCCCTCTTTGGGGCCTCTTGGGGCCAGCATTTTAGGGGCCGCCTTGTGGCGCTCTTGTGTTGTCTGACCCCTTCGAAGGCTGCGGCCGTCTTGCCCCCTCCCTCCCTTGGGGGCCTCTCGGGACCGCCTTGGGGCCATCTCGCAGACTGCTTGGGCCGTCACAGGCCCCCGAGAATCGAAGAAAGCGAGAACGCGAAAATGTTGCAAAACCCATGGGGAAATCAATGTATTTGGCCTCTGAAGGTGCTTGGGGGGGGAGTCCTTGGAGCCCTCTGGGGCAGTCTTGGGGGCCTCTGGGCCCCCTTGGGACAATCTTGGGCAGTCTGGGGGCCGCCTTGGGCCGTCTGGAGGCCATGTTGAGCCGTCTGGACGGCCGTTTGGATCCCCAAGAGGCCACAGACGCCCACATCATAGATGTTCCACACGTTCTGGTACGCTGATGGGCCCCAGCCAGGGGGCGTCACGCTGGGTCGGTGGATGTGGCGCGACTCCAGAGGGGGGCTACCGGGTTACATCAGTCTGAATGAGCCCATTATGTGGACGCTGGGAAAGGGGGGGTTCGAACCGAAAGGGGTGGCCCCCCCCTGAGATGCAAGGTGGAGGGTTCGAACGGTGAGGTGGACCCGTCAAGGGGGGGAGGGTCAGACACCAGTGGGGGGCCCCCCCCCTGAGTTGCAAGGGGGGGGGTTCGAACTGGGAGAAGGGTCCCCCTCTGTTCAAGGGGGGCGGGTTCGAACCGGGGAAGGCCCCCCCCCCTGTCCAAGGGGGTGGGTCCAACAGGGGCCCCTCCCCGTCGCCCCCCTCGAGTTGCAGGGGGGGATCCAACCGGGGGGCATCGAACCGGCAGGGAGCCCACCCCGCCAGAAGAGGGGGGGAGCCCCCCCCCCCTTGAGTTGCAAAGAAGGGGGCGGGGGTCGAACCAGGCGATGCCCCCGCCCCCCTTGCAGCCGACGACGGCGAGCGCCGGCGCCAGCGCCGGCGCCGTCCGGCAGCGGCGACGACGGCGACGGCGACGGCGACGGCGGCAACAGCGACGCAGACGCCGCCGCCGCCGCCGCCGCCGCCGCCGCCGCCGCCGCCTCCGACGACGACGACGACGACGACGACGACGACGACGACGACGACGACGACGCGCACATGGGGGGGAAGGGGGGGGGGCCCGGTTCGAAAGCGCCCTGGCAACCTGGGCGGGGGCAGTTCGACCCCCCCTCCCTTAAAAACAGGCGGGCCCACGGGGGGAATTGAGCACCGATCGTCCATGTGGAAGTTGGGGCCCAATATCAATTGAGAATCGGGGGGGGGCCGGTGGGGGGGAATTGAATTCCGATCGCCCAGTTGACAGTGGGGGCCCGCCGTCAACTGGGCAGTCGGAGGGGCCAGACAAAGGCAGGGAAATGGAACTCCCATCGCACATCTGATCGACATGCGGAACCTCGCTGTCAAATGGGTCGCCGGGGTGCACGATTGCTCACTTCGCAGTGGAATCCTCATTGCCAACTGGGAAATTGAAGGGGTTGTGCCGCCGATTGCCCGTTTCACAGTAGGGCTCCCGTTGCCACACGGGCGATCGGAGTTCGGCGCTGTGCGCTCCGCTTTTGGCCTGCCTGGCCAGGGCAGCACGTCAGTTCGGCCAGAAAAAAAAGTCCGGCTGGCCGGCCTCGGCCCGCCGAAGCCGGCCACTCTGAAGTCGGCCGGCTGAGCTTGGCCAGTCTGGAATCGGCCCAAGAGGAATTCGGCCCGAGGAACTCGGCGCAGCTGGGCTCGGCCAGCTGGAAACTCCATCGGGCCTTTTGAAAACTCGGCTGGGTAGCTCCGGCGCCTCCGGCTGCAGCGCGAGCGCTGGGTGAACAGGGCCAGAGAAATCCGGCGCGAGAAATCCGGCCCGCGGAGAATGTGGCCAGATGACTTCGGCTCGGTCGACTTCGGCCAGCTGGAGACTGACTTCGGCCCTTTAAACTTGGCTGGCGCTCCGGCTGCAGCGCGAGCGCAGGATGAAGTCGGCCAGATAAGTTCGGGCGGAGAATTTCGGCCTGGAAATAGTTCGGCAAGACAAATTCGGCCACACGGATCCCAACTGGAAAAATTCGACCCAGGAAAGATTCGGTCAGAGAAAGCCACACTGAGCATCTTAGGCGTCCTGGCGGCCACGGAGGGTTGATCGTGAGGCTGTAGGAGGTCCCCAGGCTTGTGTTGAGAAGTTCGGCCCCTACCCTCCTCCTTGCCCTTGTATCATTGGATGTTGGACTCAGGGGGACGGGGAAAGAACTATGAGTGACAGGCAATCATCGCATACGCCGGTTCACACTTGGCGTTGGTTGAAGAGGCGCTGCCGTGTCTCCACAAAGCGTCGGCCGAGGGGGCGGGGGCAGGGATGTTGCCATGGGGGATCGCGGGGGCGTCCTTTGTTGTTTTAACCGGGATTTGGTTTAGGGGGAGAAGTTCGTTCTAGGGCAACACATGGTGCGATTACATAATTTGCCTCAGGGCAACCATCCCGAAGGAAACGAGGAGTAAGCATGGTGAAAAAAGATGCGTTGCATCTGCGATACATCGAACCTGGGCAAATAAATGAGTGACTACAACATTGTTTGTAGTCACGCATCTTTTGCGTCTGCGCTGGTCCAGCTTATTTGTTGTTGTTCGTTCGGGATGGCTGCACTAGGGCAAAACATGTGCGCGACTATACGTGTTGTAGCCACCCAGCGTTTGAGCATTGTTTTGCTGTTCGCCATCGTTCATTCGGCCGTCGGTGTCGGTGCTTCTTTCCTCAGCTCTGCCCTGCTTGTCTCGGCTACACTCTTACAGTATCGTCTGTCCTGATGAGTTCACAGCACAGCTCTTTCGTGGGGCACCTTCGCGCAGCAATGCTGAAATCCGGGCCGCTCGAACCGGGGTTTCGGTTTGCTCGTGCGGGCTGCGTCTGTTTGAGCACAGGCTCGCTTGCCTGATGGGCCTCGCGCGGGCTCGCATCTTGGGGGCCGTGCGCGCGAAACACCCGTTGCGGCTGCCGAAATCGGGCGAAGATAACTATGCACATGCACCGATCCTGGCAAGGCCCATCCTTGATCCAGGATCGGTGCATATGCCTTCCTGGCCAGGGTAGGAGGGCGTATGCACCGATCCTGGGCTCAGGATGGGCCTGGCCAGAATCATGTGCATAATTCTTTTTCCTCTAGAAGACGATTCCACATTCGGGATACAAGAACCCCTGATCCTACGAACACGATGAAGACATAGCCTCACTAAGGTCCCCGGTTTCGCATTCGAGAAAATGCATCTGGGCGGTCTGGTTCGCTACATCTACAGAAAAGACTCCCTATCCCTGATGTTCCTGGCCCTCCTAACTTAGGTCCTCTCCCAAGGGGTTAGGGGTCCTCTTATGCCTGATCCATTCCGACAAAACCGGCCAGGCGAAATTCGGCCCGCCGAACACGGCCGGATCAATTCGGCCAGAAAGTTCGGCTCGGACAACAGATCGGCCAGACAAACTCGGACCAGGAAACATTCGGCCAGAGAAACTCGGCCGGAGCAATTCGGCCGGGGAAAAACTTGGCCAATCTGAGTTCGGCTTGCGCTGAACTCGGCCCCACGCTGAACTCGGCCAGGCGACACTCGGCCTCGGGCCGAGTTCGGATTGGCCGAGTTCGGCCGGGCTGAGTTCGGCGGGCCGAGTTTCGCTTGGCCGAGTCTTTCCCTTGTCCTTGCCGGGGTGGGAGTAACGGGGGGAGGGTCCCACACGCATGGAAGACCCCAGAAGGGGTCGGCGGATCACGTGATGAGTTGTTGTTCCTGCAGCACGGCTCATCTGCGGCGAAGAATCATAGGACGGGGAGCAGCAATTGCACAGCGCATCTTCTGTACCACAGTGCTGTTGTGGATATTTTTTGCACCGTTCCCAAGGTCTCACACCAGTGGATCTGAGGGTTGAGTGCCTTGCGCGCCTTCCAATGCGAGGCTCCCAGCTTGAATCACTCACTTCTTTCCCTGTAGAATTGCTTGCCGACCACTCTCTCTCTGGCAAGCATTCTAACACTGCCTGCACTCAATGAAGAGCTCGTAGCCCATTTGTCGACGAACAGCTTTCACAGGCCGCTGCTATGACCTTCGAAACTATGGTCTCGAGGGGGGTTATAAAAAAAACACGCATGATGTGGCCATCTCTCTCTCTCTCTCTCTTGTCTCTCTCTCTTTCGTTCTCTTTCTCAAGACGCCCCCCAGATAACCCCAAGACGGCCCAAGATGCACTCAAGAGGCCCCCACGACAGCCCAAGAGGGCCCCAAGACGGCCCAAGACCCAAGACGGCCCAAGGGGGCCCCAAAACGGCCCCCGAGAAGCACCAAGGACCCCCACAGAGGCCCCCAACAGGCCCCAGCTCCCGAAGAGGCCCAAAAATAGCCCCAAAAGACGCCAAAACAGCCCCAAATAGGGGTCAGACTTGCTTCCGAAAGCACCCTGCAAGCCTCTTGGGCCCCCTTGATGAGTACGGCGACAGTCAGATAAGCACTAAATATAATTATATACACTGTTACATGTACATATATATACACATATATATATATATATATATATATGTATGTAGTAACATATGCATGCATGCATGTATACAGTATGCATGCATGCACGCATGTGTGTTTGTAAATTATGTGTGCGTAAATACATACATGTATATATACACCTACACCTGCTATTATGTGATGACAGATACCTATACATGTACATAAACGTATCTATACCTTTATAGTTACATAGCCATCTACACTTACATCTACATCCACACGCCCAATATGGCCTCAAGACGGCCCAGGAGGCCCCCAAGGCGCCCCAAGAGGCTCCCAAGAGGACCCCCAAGAGGGCTTCAAAAGGCAAAAATATGGCCCCGTTCCCTGCGGAAAACTGACATTTGTATATTCCCTACCTAGGCTCTGCCTAGAAGGGTTCTTACTCGGTAAGCTTAAAGGGCCGGGCAGTGGGGCCCACCCCGGGCGGTTCCCCCAGTATCCGCCCCGCGGTTCCCCCAGTTGCGCCCCCTGGGTTCACCCAGCTTAGCTTAGCTTAGCTTAGCTTAGCTTATCTCATCTTAGCTTTCGCTTAGCTTAGCTTTGCCTAGCCTAGCCTAGCTTAGCTTAGCCTAGCTTGTCTCATCTTAGCTTAGCTTAGCTTGGCTTGGCTTGGTTGGGCTGGGCTTAGCTCAAGTTAGCTTAGCTTAGCTTAGGCTAGCCTAGCTTAGCTTAGCTTAGCTTAGCATAGCTTAACTTACCTTAGCTTAGCTTAGCGCGGCATAGCGCAGCGCGGCATTAGCACAGCATAGCGTTGCATAGCCAAGCATGTCATAGCATAGCGTAGCTCAGCATAGCATAGCATAGCAAGCAGCAACAACAACAAAAGCAATGCAACAGCAACAGCACAAGCAAAAGCAAAGGCAAAGGCAAAAGCAAAGGCAACAGCAAAAGCAAAGGCAATGCAAAGCAAAAGCAAAATCAATGCGAAATTGTAGATGTAGATGTAGATGTAGGTGTAATTGTAGATGTGAATGTAGGTGTAGATGTAGATGTAGATGTAGGTGTAGATGTCGGTGTAGATGTGGATGTGGATGTAAATGTGAGTCTCGCTGTTGATGTTGATGTAGATGTAGATGCAGGTGTAGATGTAAATGTAGCTGTCGGTGTAGATGTAGATGTTTCTTTCCTAAATGCTCCAACTCCTAGGTAGGGTCGCACTGGGATGATTATCAGTCTCTGAAGCTTTCAGAGCATCCAAGACGGCCCGCGAGGCCTCTAAGATCGTCCCAATACGGCCCGAGAGGTTCCCTGCAGGGCTCCAAGACGGCCTCAGAGAGCCCCAAGAAGGTCCAAGAGGCCCCCAAGAGGGGGCCCAGAGGGGGTACCCGAACGGATATTTCAAAGCTTCGGCCCCAAGACGCCCCCGGAAGGCCCTAGGAGCCCCCCTAAACAGCCCCCAAGAGGCCCCAAGAGGCCCCGAATACGCCTCCAGGAAGCCCCAAGAGGCCCCCAAGAGCCCTCTCCCCAGACGCCCTGAGGCACTCAAGGCGATCCCGAAGCTTCCAGAGAGGAGAGACGATGAACGGCCGTCCTGACGCGATCTTGGGCCGTCTTCGAGCTCGAGGTGCCCCATCATGGCGCAACAGGTCCCGGAAACGCCTAAAGAGAGCCTCCCTGGGGTTCCCAAGAGACCCTCCAGAAGCAAGTTACCAGGGCACGGCCCCCTGAGCAGGCATCCAAGGCTCCGTCAAGAGGCCCCAAGAGGCACCAAAGAGGCGCCCAAAAACCCCCACGAGGCCCTAAACAGGCCCCACGAGCCCTCCAGAAGCCCCCGGGAGCCCGGGAGGACATATATATATATATATATATATATATATATATATATATATATATATATGGTAAGAGCCCCTCCTGTGATCTACCTGGGCTGGTTTTTTTGCTTAAGCGAAATGCAAACGCGATGCGCTTGGTTACAACATGATTTCCTGCGTAGTATCCTGTGTACACACTTACAAATTGGGAATCATGTTGTACAGACATACACATTGATTCTTATTGTTCGGCCATCAAATCGAATCCATTTGCGCTTGGCTCGAAGGGGGAGAGGGGGGGGCCTGGCCGACGAAAAATACAAAAAAGACAAAAAAGTAAAAATTAAAAAAAAAAAAAAAAAAAAAAAAAAAAAATCTGGGGGACAAACAACGCTGTGTTTTTAATTGTAAATTGGTTTTCAATTGTGAACCAAAAAACACAAAAAAGACAATCTGGAAGCAAGGAAAACCTGTGTTTTCACAGTGTTTGGGCATTTACAAATTGATTCCTATTGTGCGGCCTTCAAATGGAATCCCTTTGCGCCTGGCCCGAGGGCCTCACAATGGGATTCTATTTGATGGCCGCACAATGGAAATCAATTTGAAAATGACCAAACACGGTGAAAACACAGATTTCCCTTGCTTCCAGATTTTTTTGTTTTTTTTTGTTTTTTGGTTTATAATTAAAAACCAATTTACAATTAAAACACAGCGTTTTTCGTCCCCCAGATTGTCTTTTTTGTCTTTTTTGTCTTTTTTGTTTTTTTCGTCGGCCAGGCCCCGAATCAATTTGCGCCTGGCTCGGGAGGGGAGGGAGGGGACTGGCCGACGAAAAAGACAAAAAAGACAAAAAAGACAATCTGGTGGACAAAAAACGCTGTGTTTTTAATTGCAAATTGGTTTTTAATTGTAAACCAAAAAACACAAAAAAGACAATCTGGAAGCAAGGAAAACCTGTGTTTTCACAATGTTTGGGCATTTACAAATTGATTTCCATTGTGCGGCCATCAAATAGAATCCCAGTGTGAGGCCCTCGGGCCAGGCGCAAAGGGATTCCATTTGAAGGCCGCACAATAGGAATCAATTTGTAAATGCCCAAACACTGTGAAAACAAAGGTTTTCCTTGCTTCCAGATTGTCTTTTTTGTGTTTTTTTGGTTTACAATTAAAAACCAATTTACAATTAAAAACACAGCGTTTTTTGTCCACCAGATTGTCTTTTTTGTATTTTTTGTCTTTTTTGTCTTTTTCGTCGGCCAGGCCCCGAATCAATTTGCGCCTGGCTCGGGAGGGGAGGGAGGGGACTGGCCGACGAAAAAAACAAAAAAGACAAAAAAGACAATCTGGTGGACAAAAAACGCTGTGTTTTTAATTGTAAATTGGTTTTTAATTGTAAACCAAAAAACACAAAAAAGACAATCTGGAAGCAAGGAAAACCTGTGTTTTCACAATGTTTGGGCATTTACAAATCGATTCCTATTGTGCGGCCTTCAAATGGAATCCCTTTGCGCCTGGCCCGAGGGCGTGGAACAAGGCGGCGTGCTGGCCGCCGTGAGAGCGCTCCATTAGCTTTATGTCTGGGAGCATGTCCTGAGCGCAGGCGTAGTGCCCCTTCCGGTACTTCAAGTACAATGCCCACTGCGCCCACGAGAAGTCGTCGACGCACTGCACCTCGCCGCCGCGAAGCTGATGCCACTCCGAGAAACTGTCGGCTTCGACGCTGGCGGGGAAATGGGCCGCCCACCAGCACAGGAATTTGCAGCAGAAGTGGAAGAAATGAATCCGGCGGCGTCGATTGCCGACGTCAATGAAGCTCACGGAGATGTCGGGATTGAGCTGAAGGTCCGGCGGAGCTGCGGGAACCACGTGCTTCCTCTCTACGGCGCCGCCGCCCTCGAGCGGGATCATGTAGTGCGAGTCCTGGACGAGCGTAGGAGGGCCGGTGGCGATCAGGATGGCATCTTTGGCGGCGACGCCAGTGATGGCCCATTCATCGCAACTCGCATAAACGATAACATCGCGAACCACCTTGTACAGCAAGTGGTCGTGAAGTACTTCGGGCTTCCTCAGCATTCTAGGTTGCCAAGCGCGATGCTGCGGAGAGTTCATAAGCTCCACCACGCGGTCGTCGTAGGCGCAGGTGGGCACGATCAGCTGCTCGCCCCAACCTTTCTCAAGATAGGTCGGCTCGCTCTTCTCGGCATTCGTGACGGCCGCCAGGATCTGAGCGACGTGCGTGGACAGGGCCGTTATTATTTCAGGACAATTGAGTCAGAGATAGCGGGAAGGCTCTGGCAGGTCGAACCGAAATAGCTATGGAAGAATGTAGGTTCACGACAAACTGCACGGCATTTCTCACTGTAACTCTCAAACGTCAACGGCGGGAGAAGGTATAACAGACCTCTGAAGGGGCTCTGGATTGGCTTTGCAGAGGGTAGAAAACCCCAAACAGCCAAAACATCCAAGTGACATCATAAGGTTTCTGTGGTTCCCATTCCAGAAATCCGCGCAGGGGTACGTTGTCATTGGGTTGGTCCGCTTGCCCTTCCGTCGGTTTGTTTCCTGAACGCCCAAACTAAGGGGGATCTTATCCAAGATCCCCCGACAGAAGGATATTGCTCAAGATACCGCCACCTGGTGGTCGATGTTCGAACGTCATTCCCTGGGGCGTATAACAGACCTCTGAGGGGCTCCTGGATTGATTTTGCTAAGACAGAAAATCCAAAATAGCTAAAACACCCAAATGAAATCATAAGGTTTCTGTGATTCCCATCCCAGAAATCCGCGCAGGGGTACATTGTCATTGGGTTTGTCCGCTT